TCAGTTTCACAGTTAAATGCTCCACAGCTACTGGTCCCCTAGGCTGGCAGCGGTGGCCAGGAGTTTAACCAATAAGGTTAACCGATAAAACTTATACGTCCCTAGTATGGACTGAAAATCGTCAAATTGCATGTCTTCATCTTCCCCTCTGACCCCAGTATTTCTTTGCAAAAATTTGTGTGTGAACATAAGAATGGCCATACTGGGTCGGACCAAAGGTTCATCTAGCCCAATATCCTGTCTTTTGTCAGTGGCCAATGCCAGATGCCTCCGAGGGAGTGAACACAAAAGGGAATCTTCAAGCAATCCCTCTCCCATCACCTATTCCCAACTTCTGACAGAGGCTAGGGTCACCGTTCCTACCCATCCTGGCTATTAGCCATTGATGTACCTAACCTCCATGAATTTATCTAGCTTTCTTTTGAACCCTGTTCAAATTCTAGCCTTCACCACATCCTCTGGTAAGGAGTTCCACAGGTTGACACTGCACTGAGTAAAGACAAACTTCCTTTTATTTGTTTTAAACCTGCTGCCTATTAATTTCATTTGGTGACCCCAAGTTCTTATATTATGGGAAGAAGTACATAACTTTTCCTTGTTCATTTTTTCCATACTAGTCATGATTTTATAGATCTCTATCATATCCCCCTTAGTCTTCTCTTCTCTAAGCTGAAAAGTCCCAGTCTTTTTAATCTCTTTTCATATGGGATCCATTCCAAATCCCCTACTCATTTTTGTTGCCTTTTTCTGAACATTTTCCGGTGCCAATATATCTTTTTTGAGATGAAGCGACCAAAACTGTACACAGTATTCAAGGTGTGGGTGCACCATGGTTTTATATAGAAGCAATAAGATGTTCTCTATTCATTTTTAAATTATTCCTAACATTCTGTTTGCTTTTTTGACTGCCTCTGCACATTGAGAACTATCCACAATGACACCGAGATCTCTCTTTGTCCTCTGTAGCATTGGGCACAGATCACAGCTGAAGGACTCTCTGCATGTTGGGGCCTTCAAAGTATTGGAAGGCTTCAATATCTGAGACATAGGTGAGAGGATTATTCTAAGAGGGGTGGGTGAGATTCTGTGGCCTGCACTGTGCAGGGGGTCAGACTAGATGATCATAATGGTCCCTTCTGACCTTAAAGTCTATGAGTCTATGAGCATGAAGAGAGCACCCCGGAGTGGGGAAACCCTAGCCCCTGCTCCAAGTGACTTATTCGCTAGTTACCTCTCTTCATTCTGAAAACTTACCATTTATTCCTGCCCTTTGTTTCCTGTCTTTTAACCAGTTATCAATCCATGAGAGCACCTTCCCTCTTATCCCATGATAACTAACTTTACTTAAGAGCCTTTGGTGAGGAACCTAGTCAAAAGCTTTCTTGAAATCTAAGTACACTATATCAACTAGATCCCCCTTGTACACACGTTAGCTGATCCCCTCAAAGAACTAGATTAGTAAGGCATGATTTCCCTTTACAGAAACTTTGTTGACTTTTCCCAACAGATTATGTTTATCTATGTATCTGACAATTTTATTCTTTACTATAGTTTCAACTAATTTTCCTGATATTAACGTTATTGCCAGGATCACCTCTAGAGCCTTTTAAAAATATTGGTATCACATTAGCTATCTTCCAGTCATTGGGTTCATAAACTGATTCAAAGGATAAGTTACCAATCACAATTAATAGTTCTGAAATTTCCTATTTGAGTTCTTTCAGAACTCTTAGGTGAATGTCATCTTCTCCTCATGACTTGTTATTATTAAATTTATCAGTTTGTTCCAAAACCTCCTCTAATGACACTGCAATCTGGGACAATGGCTCAGGTTTGGGAATCTCCCCAGCCATGAAGACATACGTATGCATATGTTTAGGAGTTTTGAAGAGTATGTTATTGTAAAAATATATCTTTATAATAGTTCAGAGCGAAGTTTCAAGTCATTTGGTGACACTTAAGAGAGCTGCTGATTTGTGTGCCTTGTATACTATTCTAGTCTACAGTGTGAAGCTGATGAAGAAGGAGGTTCAAAAGTGATGGCTAGGAGTACTAAATATAGGGACTGTACAAACTTTTTTTGATGAAGAGGTAGAGAGTTTGCTTTATGCCTATTTTGTTATTGTCTACAGTAGTAATTTAGCAGATTTCTAGTGATAGCCATTGTTTTAAGCATCATTTACTGCTAATCTCATTTTTAAAAAATAAATTCCATTGTGGTCTTCAGAAATCAGTTTTTCAGGGTAAATATCCAATGTCTCTCACCTCTTTGTTGGCAATTAGTGTAAGAGGCTGGAAAACCAGCATCCCATTTAATTTATTGGGCTTGATTCTGATCTCAGCTTTGTGGCATGTGTTAACATGTCTCAGGAGATTATATTTCTGTATACATATATGCTGTGGGTCTGAGATTAGAGTTGGTCCCTTTTTAATTCAATCTAAATGCAGTTGCTGAAAGTAAATATATTTCAATCCTGTTGTTATATTGTGCTCAAGTGATTTATGGAAGTCTGAATGTGGTGAAGAAAGGTAGAATATTATCTCATTTTGTTAATGTGATTTTATGTGTATGAACTCTTTAGCTTCTTAATTGCTTATTTTTGCTCGTCTTAAACAGCATTTCCAGAAGCTTGAAAGTTGATTCATCCTTTTAATGCAGTAACCCATATCACTATGCACTCGTAAGGGTTACTAAGACCTACATTGATTGCTCTTTTCTGCAAGCTCTTCTTTGAGACAATTGAGATTTTAATTCTAATGTAATACCTTTTCTGTTGATTCACTGTAGACTGCTGCAAATTGTTTTCTACCTGATAGTGAGAACATAACATCCAATTAATTCATGGAGGAGTAATTTTTGCACCTGAGAATGCAAAGTCTCCTGAGTCACGTTCATGAAGGAAAATCACTTCCTCCAATAGCCCCTCCCAACATTCCGTTCCGTTTCATAAAAATGAATCACTAAGGTCCTGCCTAATAACAAGAGGCTTTACACAAGATGCTATACACACTTTTTTTTACAGTACAGTCTTAAATTGATACCAGCTCAGCATACATTTAAGATATCTGTTATTTGTCAAAACCTTTCAGGATGAAGAGATTCTGTAAATACAAAATTATGATAACGATGATGATTTAAGATTGCCTACATGCAAAGGAAATGACAAGAATATAGTGGATTATATCAGTGTGTGTCTCCCCTGTGATTCACTTACTCCACAACTAGCTCTAGATCAGTGCATTAAAGCCTTCCACCCTCATGTCTCTACCATTCTGCCTAATCCCTTTTACAGTAGTATGGTGGCAAGCATCACAGAGGAAGTGCTTAAGATGTTGAGCTGCGGTAACTTCCTTGCTTAGCCCCAGAGAAGAGACTGAGGTTTCAACCTCCAGACAGGAAATTAACTTTTTCCATCCCACCTCAAATCCTAATTGTGGGACATAGCCTCTCCCATGCTGAATCCCTAGAGTATGATCTTTTATTTTGACTAGAGATGTTAAAATGAGTTTAAGCAATTGTGTAACCATTGAATAATTTCAGTGGTTACATGGTTACATGCTGGGGGCAGACGTCTCCCCAGAGGCAATGTGCATGGGGAGCAGCCTTTTAAGCCTGTTCCCCACACATATCTGCTCCCATCTGCCTGGCATCTCCCTAGGAGCTGGTGAATTCAGGGAGCCTGCATGTGACCATGAATGTTAACCAGGGAGCCTAGGCTCATCTGTTAACCATGTACACGGTTACACTTTCACATCCCCATTTCTGACCAATATATAAATAGTAGTGTTTGTAAATTGTTATTGGAAGATGTTCTCTATTTCTGGAAAGTAGCAGAAGAATTCCTCCTTGGTTCTTGTCGGAGGATCTTTCTAGGGGGATGTTCATCTTCCTTTCTAGATCATTATTTCTTCAGAGGAGGAAAAAGATTACAAACTGATGGTTTATGTATTAATTTTCCTGGCTGGCAAGAATAGAGCTATGAGTCAGCTCTTGATATTCTTGCATCACAGCTACTAAGAATTCATCCCCTGCTGAGGAGTAATATGTGAACCAGAAAAAGCCCTTGGCCCCCATTAAAACAGTCTAATTGCTAAAGCACCATGAATTTCCATGCACTGTCATATATGTATGTGTATATACATGCATATTTTGCAATATGCATGCATATGCAATATATATGCATATTTTGAAATTGCTTCATATTAATCTGCATCAGCCCCAGCTTTCTAGTAAAGTGCTCTTATTTAAAATATTGTATATTTGTATATATATTCTAAAACCAGAAATGAATGTTCCCATTACCTTGTAGATCCTTAATGAGGATTGGCACACCTGTCTTTGCTGCATAGCAACAAGTCATAATTAACTGCTTTTTTGTGACAGGTGTGTTGATGTTAGGAGTAGGAGTGGTTGGTATTTGAGAACTGACACCTTATTTATAGACACTGAAGAAAGAAAGGGAGAAAAATCTTTATAGTAATAAAGTTGGAAAATATCCATTAATGATGTGGATCTTCGAGGCAATGTTTGAGAATAATCATGGCATTTTATTTATGATTATTTTGAGTTACCAGATTAGAAATATCTAGCATCTTATTTAGGGAGGAGAATAAATGGCCTGTGTGGCCTCCTGAGTCTTTTCTATCTCTAATTGCTGTGAGCCTTTGGAAAGACATACAGCAACACTGATGGGAATAACAAATGCTTACTTTTTTTTATGGAAATGGTTCATGGCATGTGGCAGGCTAGAGTGTATTTTTTTTATTTTGCCCCCCCCCCCCCCCAGCTTTTAAATGCAGGAATTGTCAATACAGATCTTCTGAATATTTAATGTAGTTTGTGAAGATCTTACAGTATAGAAAGAAACAAATGGAAAAAGATAAAATAGCACCTTATACAGACACTTACCAAAGTATAGTGTAAATATATTTATGTGAAATAGTCGGATAAACAATGTTATAAGATTGTCATTTATTGAATTGCACATTTTTCCTTTCAGTCAAGGAGTATTGCAAAGTAATATTTCCATATGAAGCACAGAATGAAGATGAACTGACAATCAAAGAAGGCGATATCGTCATACTTATCAATAAGGTAAAGATAGCATTATCCCTTCATAAACCAGAATACAGCTTTCAAAAATATGTATCAGTACAGCAGTGTAGTTTGCTGTATGTCTGTATTGAGTAGATTGCTGATGGGTTTGTTTTGGTTAGCATTGGTTTGACTTTTTATCGTGGTTGGGTTGGGGTTTCATTTCTTTTTCTCTTTGTGAATATGTGCTTTTTAAAAAATGACAAGCATTTGTTAATTACATTTAAAAACAAAAACAAGCAAAAACCCCAACTAGCCCAAAGATAATGGGTCATAATGTTTTTACACACAGTCAAACTGGTTGACTTTAATATGATTAAACACATGAAATGAACAGGCCAAGGAGAACCATTTTTCTCTCTCCTCCTTATGAGACACTTTTAGATACCTGAAAACCGCTACCATGTCCCCTCTCAGTCTTCTCCTTTCCAAACTAAACAAGCCCAATTATTTCAGTCTTCCCTCATGTTCTCTAGACCTTTTATCGTTCTTGTTGCTCTTTTCTGGACCTTCTCCAATTTCTCCATCTTTCTTGAAATGTGGTGCCCATAAGTGGACACAATACTCCAATTGAGACCTAAACAGCGACTTCTCGTGTCTTGCTCAAAACACTCCTGTTAATGCATCTCAGAATCATGTTTGCTTTTTTTGCAACAGCATCACACTGTTGGCTCATATTTAGTTTGTGGTCTACTATGACTCCTAGATCCCTTTCTGGAGTACTCCTTCCCATTCAGTCGCTTCCCATGCTGCATGTGTGAAACTGATTGTTCCTTCCTAAGTGGAGTATTTTGCATTTGTTGCAGTTTATTATCAATTTGCAATCAATATTAATTGGGAGAAATGAAATTTGTTTTGTTCCATTTAGACTAAAGTTAGTAAACATGAGTCACCGCTTTACTTGAACCATCACTTTTTCTTGAATTTGATTGTTTATTGTTCCATTTGCTTTATAACAGCTCTTCCCTAAGCCACATAAAGGTGATGCCACCCTGACTCCCTCAGTTCCTTTTTACTACCCCATGGCCTTAGAGCCTGAGCTCTGTGTGGTGTCTTCCCCTCAGACTTTCGTCTCAGTTTTTGAGAACTCTTCATTGCATATTGTAGAGGTGATACATTTAGATTTAGTTTAGTGTTAGCTACAGTAGTTGGCTGCCCTTTGCAATGTCCTTAGCAGAGGTCAAGCATTTTCCATTGTTCCCCCTACTAGCCCAGTTATAGCTGTCCTGGTTCCCATCTCTGTCCCCTTGTTATCCCCATGTGGTCGTTCTGCAGTATAACTGTCCCTCCTGCCAGACCCATTCCTTTCCATTTTATGAGAAACAATCTAATTCCAGGCACACACCATTGTCCTGGTACAACCAGACCCTGACCTTGCTTTAAATTAGGATAAAAGGAAGCTGCATACCAAATGTGGTGATCTTTGCTCTTACAATTTAGGAAGAGTTCTTGACTAAATGGACTCACAGAGACCGATGCACATTTCTAAAATATATAGTAAGATTGCAGTGTTATTTTTACCTTTCAACTCTTCAGCAACAAAAGTCAGACTTTTTTAGCAATCTAACTGGACTCTGAAATGGTATCTATTCAGAAGATAGAGCTTGTTTTATACTAAAAGAGAACATATTTCTTCAAAAATACCACATTTTAAATGCATGCTGTGATTTACTGGAATGCCTTCAACAGGCGCGCTGAGGGGTGGATGATAGACAGTGTTTCCAGTCTCAAGAAGCTATAAGAACTGTCTTTAAGAACTACCTTTTATCTTGCTAATAATTCCAGAATTCTCAACTTCCTGTAAAAGTTTACACCGATAGTCACGTAATGAAGCCATACTACGTATTCCTGATTGGCCAGGAAGACACTGGCTTCCAGAGCAGAAAAAAATAATCTTGTAATTAAAGGATCCGTCAACTTTTTTTTTCCTTTAAAAAAAAAAAAATTCTTTCCAGACATTTTCCCTAATAATTCAACTTTTCTCTTCTCTGATAGATATATAGTGGATATGGGACAAATATGGATTCTTTAAAAAAAAAGTTTGATCTAATATAGCAATTTAAGAAACTTCAAGTCAACCAGAAAAAAATAGCCTATTTTGTATTTAATTTTCTCTCAAAATAGTAACTGCTAAAATACCTTTTTATTTGCAATAAATGTTCACTCACAAATTCTGGGTTTCAGTCATTTGAGCATGTGCAATGACCATGTCAGCCTTGTATACAGACACTGAAATCAACAAGTGAGTGAGCATCACATAACATTATTTCATGCAAGAATTTAAGAGCCATAGTCTTTAAAGAATAACATTAGTTGTCTTACTGAGTTCTAAAGGCCCTTACAAAATTTCCTTTGGGACTCTGAGTATTCCCACGGCTACACTGCTTCTTTTTGTGCAAAAACCCCTTGCGCAAAAAGAATTGGCAGAAAATACGCTAATAGCATTGTGACTCATGCTAATTAGTCTCTCATTAGCATATTTTCTGCTGCAAAAACTTGCAGTGTAGTCAAAGCCCTTATGTTATAACTGAAGTGTCAGCACCTTTTATGATGGTGATTTTAGGTGTTTGCAAAATCAGGCCCTTAAAAAATGACTATGGAAGAAGCATGGTTGTTTAACCACAGTACCTTATGCATTATCTATATTTAGGAAAAAAGGAATGAGCTCACAGAATAAGTTCCTTTTCTAAAATAATTTGATTTACTGAGAAGGTTGTTAGAAAAATAAACTGTTAGTAACTGTCTATCAGTTGTCTTTCTTTTTTTTTTTCCTTTCAGTTATTGTGGTGATTATACGTGCCCTCGATTTTATTTTTTACACTTGGATTATTTCCATATCTTGTGACTTTCCATTGACTGGTTTGACTAAAAATAAAGCACCAAACTAGGTCTTCGTTGAGATGGGGGTTGATGAAATATTCATGTAACCAAATGCAACTGAAGTTGTACTGCTGTGATCAGAAGTGTTAGTGAAACAGTCATTTTCTGAATGACTGGAGTAAATGTTCAAGACTGAATTAATTGTAGGTGATGAAATAAATGACACTTCTTTTTCTTTCTTGCCTACATATGAATAAAAGTTATTTGTTAAACATGCATGAAAATGAAGTTCGTGCATCTTTGACTCCTTGCTCCCTTGTTCTTATCCTTCTGTTCCTATCCTACTAAGTTCAGCTTTCATTGACTTCAGTATACTACTGGGCTAGACCAGTGTCTTGCAATTAAAAGGTCATATTGTTGTTGGATAGGCAAGAATGTGAATTTTGGCAAGCAAAAGTGCTGGCCACAGCTGTGACAGTGAGTTGCCAAGTTGTCACATGAGTACAGTGGTTACAATTTGCATCTTTTAATTCTGGCTGTTATCAGAACCACCTCACGTTTGTTGGCTAATCTGGTTTTATTTGGAATATGGACATTAAATGTGCAGGTTCAATGAGATGTATTTATTTCCCTGTGGTAGTTTTTCTGCTGAGTGAACATTGCAAGTGAATCTCTACACAGAATTATTTTGTTCAGTAAACATGATAATTTTTGCTGCATGTGCAATATTTCATCAAAGCATGTCAAATTTGCTACCGATTACCTAAATTCTGATTCTACTGATTACTTAAATTCATAGTTTAAGGCCAGAAGGGACTGTTAGATACACCTAGTCTGATTTTCTGCAAATTACATTTCACTCAGGTACCCCTGTAGTTCACCCAGTAACTTGTGTTTCACTAAACCCTAACTTGTATATGACTACTGCATATCTTCCAGAAAGGCATCCGGTTTTGATTTCACGATATCGGGAGATGGAAATTCTACCATTTCCCTTGGTAATTCATTCTAATGCGTCACGGGGTATGAAAACTCCATCTTGTTGTAGGGTTGTGATATCACCGCGACTACTATCAGATGATCTTTTAGATAAAGGCAGCACAGCTCAATGGTGAGGGTCAAGATGACTGGCTTTGGATTAGAGGCAGTGTGGCCTAGAGGCCAGGAGGCAGAGCAGTTTCCCTTGGGTTTGGGCCATGTGGCCCAGAGACCCGGGACAATAAAGAGTGGGTACCAGCCCAGGGCCCTATCTGATACGTGTATGGTCACCACTCTGCCAGTGAGGATCCTACCACAACATACTGACTTTCCTTGGGTAGGAAATATCACTCATCTATCCTCCCTGGGCCACTTCCTACCACGAGTCCTGAACATGGGGTCGATTTGTCATCAGAGTCTCCGAGCTCCTTTGCACAGGTAGCTTGTTGGGGCACTGATTCCTGTCTGCTGGCTGTAGGCAACTGGTCTCATGCCTGGACTTCAGAATCTCTGGTTCATGTAGTAATGGCTGAACTGTATATTGGGCTGTCAAGTATCAGAGGGGTAGCCGTGTTAGTCTGAATCTGCAAAAGCGGCGAGGAGTCCTGTGGCACCTTATAGACTAACTGAAGTGTAGGAGCATAAGCTTTCGTGGGCAAAGACAAACTTCGTCAGATGCATGTAGTGGAAATTTCTACTACATGCATCTGACAAAGTGGGTCTTTGCCCACGAAAGCTTATGCTCCTACACTTCAGTTAGTCTATAAGGTGCCACAGGACTCCTCGCCGATATTGGGCTGGAGTCTCTACCGAGCATTCTTCCTCCCAGACAGACAGTCCAAAATAAGCTGGACCCAGGACTGTCCTTACAATTTATGAGTCACTACACCAGTTACCTGAAGTGGATTCTCCTCCCTGCAACCAGTTTTACAGTGGCTGGGGGTTTGCCTTGCCCTCCCCCCCCCCCTTCCACTGTGTGGCTTCTGTTGGGGCTTGGGACTTCCCTGTGTTGGTCACGGAGCCGCAGAGATTGACGATTCCCCTCTTCCCCCACCTGGCAGGAGGGAGTCCTGAGGTCAGAGGATAGCCAGCCGATAGGAGGGCAGGGAGAAGACAGGCCTACTGCCCTAATTGGCCTGGGGGCGGGGGAACGGTAGAACCTCTGTGGGCTAGATCAACTCACCTGGTGGGCCAGATCTGGC